TATACATAATAATAGAGGCTTGGGTGGGATATGTCTTCTGTCTATATAATGGAAGGGAACTCTAGCAGCCTAGTTGGTAAGCAGTTGTGTTGCCAATCCAAAGCAGGTGGCTTGAAACCACAGGTGCTTCATGGGAGAAAGAAGGCCTGTCTCCTCCTATATGATCTGTAGCTTCTGAAAACCCACTGGAATGTCAGCTGTAAATTGGTTCAGACTCGACCGCACAGAAGAACAGCTACATATACAGTAGAATATAAATACCAATCTCCCACCCTCTCTTTGTTCCATAGATCCTTTACTATGCAATGCTGGGAGTCAACCCCCGCTTTGATCCAGCTTCTTCTAGCTACTACCTGGCTACACACAGCCTCCCGCATGTCATCAATCCAGTGGAGTCACGGCTGGGTGAGCTCCTGATATTTTTTGGCTTTTTCCAGACCCAAGGGCCCAGCCAGGGATGGGAAAAGGTTTGTATATATAGCAATGATTTCCAGGCCTACTCTCAGGGAAATACTGAGGCTTAAGGGCCCTTTTTCATAATGTATGTTCCATTGAATCAGAACTTGTCCATAGCTGACCCTCCAGTGAGTTTTCAGAGGACATATATCACACAGGAAGAGATTGCCCATCTTTCTTGCACAGATCAGCTGGTGGATTCAAGCTGCATACCTTTGGGTTGGCAGCACAGTTCCTTACCACTAAGCCACCAAAGCTCCCTTTTTCACAATACTTTGTTGATGAAGAATGGAGGATCAGGCGAGCTCTGATGGCCTAGTGGCAAGAAGCTGCACTGCAGTTCCACAGGTGCATGGTTCAAATCCACCAGATGCTCTGCTGGAGAAGGAGGGACAGTCTCCTCCTGTACCAGTCAGATCTGATTTGACGGTACATAAAAAAAAAATTAAAAATTAAAAAAAAAAAAGATCAGTGAAAGAGAGGAAGACCCCCCAGCGAGAGGCATAGACACAATGACTGCATCATTGGACTCAAGTGTGTCAGAGATGAAGAGGATGGCATGGATAGGACAGGGTGCAGAACTGGTCATCCTAGGGTCGCTATGAGTCATACTCAATGGCACCTAACAACAACAACTCTTGATATCCTTATCCCTTATATCTTAAACTATTTAGTGAACGTTTCCAGCACTTTTTACAAATAGACTGAACTTCCATCTGGGAAAGCTATCTAGGAGAGTCGGTGACTGGAAAGACAGACCAGAGCAAAAGTACAAGGAGACTGAATTTGAATTGACGGTTCTGCTGATTGAGACCAGGCTACTCGTTTTTCATTTTGGGCTAGAGCCTGGGAAGGGTGGGAGTGGATAAGAACAGTACCGCAGACAAGCCAAAGAATTATAGACCTGATTGTGGAATTTCAGGAACCTGAAGTAGACCATTGTGGACCAGGGGGTGTAGGAGGGACAACACCTGTGCACTGGGCAGATGCCTTCTCCATAGAAGGTTGTTTCAGGTAAAGGGAGTTATTTTAGGTTGCTTCAGGTAAAAGGAGCTTAGATACAGGAGAGTGAAGAGCATGGTCATTGAGGGAGCTCAAGAGTAGTTTAATGTGACTAAAATCATGGAGTTGACTTGACAAGCAGCAGATGCCAGAATCTACAAAGAGGATCATGTTATGGCATTTGATGTTGATGGACAGCCTTTGAAAATATTAAGCAGGGAACTGACATGAAACAGATTTTTATATTTGTTATAAGGTTGCAGTGTGACACTGGTCAAGAAAGCCAAGGGGTTCTCTTAAAAGAGGAAAGATTCCAGGGGCATTTTGCAACTTGGGACTATGTTCCATTTATGTGACACATCTTGGTAGGATGTTAAGGGACCCTTAACACCACAGAAACCCAAGACAGGAGGATACCCTAGAAATGATCACTTGGGGAAACTGAGGCCCGGAGTGGATCAAAGATCCAAGTCCCAGTATGTTGATGTCCTTCCTACCTTTTTTTTTCTCTACTACAGGATCCAGTGCTGCTTCTCTTTACCCCGTGCTCAACTTCCTGCTCTACGTGCCTGAACTTGCTCACTCCCCACTCTACATTCAGGACAAGGACGGGGCTCCAGTGGCCACCAACGCCTTCCACAGTCCCCGCTGGGGTGGCATTATGGTAATAATCACACTGCAGGCCCCAGAGTCCAGGCTTCCAGGACATACAGAATCCTCAAGACTTTTTATTTATTTATTTATTTTTTTGGGTTGCAAACATGTTTAATAGTTCCTTGTACACTAACATTGCTCATATGTTAAAGATTAATTTGCCATCTGATAAGACTTTTTTTAAAAAAAAAATTATGTGGCCTAGTGGCAGGAAGCTGCACTGCAATCCCAGAGGTACATGGTTCAAATCCACCAGATGCTCTGCTGGAGAAGGAGGGACAATCTCCTCCTGTACCAGTCAGATCTGATTTGACGGTACACACAAAAATAATAAAATAAAATAAAATAAAATAAAAAATTATTCTTTTTTTGTGTGTACTGTCAAATCGGATCTGATTGGTACAAGAGGAGATTGCCCCTCCTCCAGCAGAGGATCTGGTGGGTTTGAACCACATGCCTCTGGGATTGCAATGCAGCTTCTTGCCACTAGGCCACCAGAGTTCCCCTCCTTAAAACTCTTGTTTCTGTTCCTTCTGCTGTCTTCCATGGCCCAGCCTGTAGGAGGGGCAGGCATCAGGGCAGTGGAGGTGCTGTGTGCCAGGCCCCAGGCCGCTACTTGGGCAGAACCACTCTTTCTTATTTCCATGAGTGCTGATGGTCGCTAGGACTCTCTTTACCCTACACAGTTGGCACTTATTTAGAACTATATAGTGTACACTTAGATCTTGACCCTATTTGTGGGAGTCTTTCAAGGTTGGGAACTTTGTCACCCCTTTAAGGAGTTTTTCTAAAATGAGATTTAAAAAAAATTTTATAGGTCTTTCAAGGGGATAGTTGAGGTAATTGGTGTAAATTCCCCATAGTTGTTATGTTCTGTTGAGTTGATTCCATCTTATATGGCACAGTGGGCCGGCCCACCCCATAGGGTTTTGTAGGCTGTAGTTCTTCTCGGGACTAGATAGTCAGGCCTTTTCTTCCATGGAGCTGCTGGTAGATCAAGTGCTGATCTTTCAGATAGCAGCCAAGCACTTAACTAAAAAAGTATTAGCCATCATTACATTTATTGTTTCTAAATAGCAGAGACTCCTTTTCCTATTTTCTCGTCACCTCCAGAGTCCCAGGGAAGAGCTGTATAAAGTTCTGATGTTTTGTGGCTACCTCCGTCCCTCTTTCAGGTGTACAATGTTGACCCCAAAGCCTACAACACCTCGGGGTTTCCGGTCAGAGTCGAGGTGGACATGGTGCGCGTGATGGAGGTATTCCTGGCTCAGTTGCGGTGAGTCCTGGGGGTGCCGTTTTGGGGACATGGCCACGGGGAGTCTGACCACGTCTCTTGGGCTTTAGAGGGAGATTGCAATCAGAGTAAAATCTACCTGCCAGGTATACCTGGGCCGAGCCACCAGGAAGCCAAGAGTGGTCATCCTTTCGATTGCTCACGAAATCTATTTAATAAAAAGCAGATGTGAATGTCAGTTCCTTAAGGTACAGTTATCTGTATTTAAGAAAACGCTTGTTAATTTCTGTGCTAATTGATTAACTGTGGCTGCGTGAAGCCCTTTGTATGCTGAAGATGGGTTTGGGCTCCTAAGAGTATTTTCCTAGCCGATTAGCAATATCTGATATGGGTATAGAATTAGAGAGGCATCAGTATACACATGCCTTTTAATTAAAGTTGGTTCTGGGTCATCCCTTAACTCTGAGCCCTAGTCCCCTTATTTGTTCAAAGAGAGGATAAAAAAGGGTAAGGAGAGTAAATGAAGTTGATGTATGATTATCTAGTGCTGTTATAACAGAAATATTATAAGGGGATGGCTTTAACAAACAAATTTATTTTTCTAGTATATTGTGTACTATCGAGTTGAACCTCCAGGAGGTTTTCAGAAGCAGTGAATTGCGTAGGAGAAGATAGCTCATCTTTCTCCAGCAAAGCATCTAGTAGATTCGAACCATGCATCTAGTAGATTCGAACCATGTACCATTGTGTTGGCTGAAGCTGGAAATCTGAATTTAGGATGCCAGGCCTGGGGATGGCCTTCTCCTTTTTTGGTTCTGAGGAAAGCTTCTTGTTTCTTTTTAACATCTGTGGGCATACCTTAGAGATCTCCATGTACCTTGGCATCAGTCTGGGAAGTTCTCCGTCAAGGTCCCCCAAGTCCAAAGGATGCACTTTACTCCTGGCTTTTCTTTATTGGAGATTCTGAGGTCCCTCCCTCTCTTCCTGCTTCTCTTTCCTTTTATATCTTATAAGGTAAAAGGTGTTAAGAAGCTCTGGTGGCCTAGTGGCAGGAAGCTGCACTGCAGTCCCAGAGGCATGAGGTTCAAATCCACCAGATCCTTTGCTGGAGAAGGAGGAACAATCTCCTCCAGTACCAGTCAGATCCAGTTTGACGACACACACACAAACAATAATAAAATTTTTTTTATAAAAAGATAAAAGCTGTTGCAGGCCACATCCCAGGAAAATTCCCCTAAAATGCAATTAGGGCTGTGACCTGAGTCAGGGTGGTGTATACAATTTTAACCCTGCTTCATTAATATAGCAAACATAACTTAGTACTAATTAACATAATCTTACCTTGTTAAAACATGAGGTCAAGATTCACAGCAAGTTACAAAACAGAGGATAATTACATCAGATTAAAAAGTGGAGGACAGCCACACACTAGTGGGAAGGAATCAAGCCTAGCCAAGTTAACACATATTTTTGATGACACAATTCAATAATGATTGGTGTTATCAAAAGTTTTTTAGCCATGGAACCTTCCTTCAAGCAAGATCTTGGGCATTTAATATAAAAACAGGTGAAAGTGTAAATACTCTGGAGGAAGCGGAGTTTGGGGCTCTGGATTGCATGGTGCTGCTGGTCACTCTTTAAGATGTTGAGAGACTTCCCTGTACCCCTGTGGCTCTGGGTGATTGAAATCATTGACTCAGGGCAGATAGTCCAGGAACCTTGGCTGTCTTCTCCCACCTTCTGGTCTCAGTCACACTGATCTTACGTGATTGCTCCTACAGCCTGCTCTTTGGAATTGCTCAGCCCCAGGTGCCTCCAAAGTGCCTGCTTTCGGAACCTAACAGAGAAGGACTAATGGTGTGGGAACTGGACCGACTGCTCTGGGCTCGGTCAGTGGAGAACCTGGCCACGGCCACCACCACACTCACATCACTGGCCCAACTTCTAGGCAAGATCAGCAACATTGTCATCAAGGATGATGTGGCGTCTGAGGTGCGTGGACAGAGATCAGATTCTGGGCTGCAGTGTGAGTGAGACCAGAGAAAGACAGCTGGGATATAGAGAGCTTGTGTGCATGCCATCTTTAAGTTCCCCAAACTTCCCCTAGAGGGCAGTGCCAGCCCAGGAGGCCAGATGGGAAGTGTGTAGTTTTAAGCAGTCCCTAAGAAAATACCTCATAGCCCTTTTATGCTGACTTCAGTCCAGGCAGATTCCCTGGTTGGCAGAAGGCACATGCATGTGGAGGACTTATTTTAACCCTCTCCGCCATCCTAGGTATATCGGGCAGTAGCTGCAGTTGAAAAGGCAGCAGAAGAGTTGGCCACGGGGCACCTAGCCTCTGCCTTCCTTGCCAGCCAGGAAGCCGTGACATCTTCAGAACGTGCCTTTTTTGATCCCTCACTCCTCCATCTCCTCTATTTTCCTGATGACCAGAAGTTTGCCATCTATATCCCACTCTTCCTGCCTATGGCTGTGCCCATCATCCTGTCCCTGGTCAAGATCTTTCTGGAGACCCGCAAATCCTGGAAGAAGCCTGAGAAGATGGACTGAGCAGGGCAGCATTTCATCAGAGACACTTCTTTCAGGCCAGGATGGGAAGCATTAGCGCGAGAGGCACATAAATGAAGCCTGCTGGGAATGACTTGTTTCCAGTCTCATTTGTTGTCTTTCCAGTAACCAAAGTACAGCACTCCAAATAGGTTCATCTTCTCCTCCCAGTCATTCCCCTGGCACAGGCCTCCCTGCTCCCCCTTCCTCACAGCTGCAGGAGCCTCAAAAAGTGGCATCATCTAGATCTCCTTATTTGGCTTGACCTTGAAGGCCCCTGACTATCTCCCTCTGGGGCAGGGTCAGCTTATACATCCATCCTGGTTCTCAGCATAGCTGGTGGCCAAGATAGCAGTTTTAGGGAAAGCTCTGGCTGGATCCCTCTGTTACCAGTTCCCCAAAATTTTTAACCCCTCTGGGAGAGCCCCAGCACCACGCACAGGTCATCTCTGAGGCTCCTCCCTTACTCCTCTCCCCAGTGGCTGGCTGCTTCTATTGGGTCCAGCCAGGCAGGAGCTCCAGACCTGGCGCTGCCTTGTGTGACAGAGGCTTGGGAGCAATTTCCGAATTTTGAATCAAACAGGCCTGAATTCCTTCCTTGTTCTGCACTCATCCTCTGGTGAGCTTCCTCATTTAGAAAGTAGCACTACTGAAACCTCCCTTAGCAAGGTTGCTGAGAAGATTCGATGTGAGAAACATGGGAAAGTATCTGGCTCTCAATAAACATTGGTTAAATGTAAATTGGCATGGTATGACGTGTGACTGCACTTTTAATTCTTCCTTCACCTGCATAAGAGTAATAGTTTTCGTGCCACTGTTGTAGAATGAGGCTGGCATTGGGGTGGGGGTAAGACTGAGAAAAACTGGATGAAATATGTTTATGGCATTGAAGTCTATGGGGGAGAGAATAGTCTAAAAGTATTATATTTTAGGGCATTATTTTTATCGTAGGAGTATGCAATT